CGCCCCCCGCGGACGCCCCCGGCCAGGCCCCCGCCTGCCTAGTGCAGTGGGCCGAGGGCGCGGGAGCCACGGAGCCCGGCACCTGTGCCACAGGGCTGGCTGGAGGGGAGCGAGTCAAAGGCCAGTTTTGAAAACCGGCTCCAGTGGTGACCCTGGCGGTACAGGCTCCGGCCGGCTGGCACGGGAGGGATCAGACACCGGGAGAAACCCAGGTGCTCGGGAGAGCCAGCTGGGATGTAAAATCCCGTTCACTGGTTAACCGGGCAGAGGGGCCGGGCTGGCACGCTGCTACCCACGGTCAGGAGGGGGCGGCTCCAGCCCCTACCGGTCATTAAGGGAGAGGCTTATCGGTTACCCAGTAACATCCCTAAAGGGAAACCCGCTTCACAGACCTATTAGCGCCCCTCGCTGGGGGTCAGCGCGCACACGGGCAAGCCACTGGCTCTAGTGTACCCGGACGTGCCGAAAACCTTCGCCAAGGCTCTCCCCGGAGGATCAGCGGGGACGGGAGGGAAGGCCCTTCTCCCGGCTCTGGACAGGATGCAAGTTTTCACAGGGCAGAGGGGGCCATGGCAGGGTCCCCCAAAGCCCCGCCCCGGGCCCAGCCCTGTTCACCACTCTGGAGAAAGGGGCGAATGGCGAGGGGGCCAGTCTGCAGCTCACACCGGTCTCACAGTGCCGGGCGACGGGGATGAAATTCAGAGAGAAGGGCAAAGCAGTGCACGCTGGGAAACAGAACCCCAGCCACCCCTCCAGGGCAGAGGGGGCCATGGCAGGGTCCCCCAAAGCCCCGCCCCGGGCCCAGCCCTGTTCACCACTCTGGAGAAAGGGGCGAATGGCGAGGGGGCCAGTCTGCAGCTCACACCGGTCTCACAGTGCCGGGCGACGGGGATGAAATTCAGAGAGAAGGGCAAAGCAGTGCACGCTGGGAAACAGAACCCCAGCCACCCCTCCGTCTGTACAAATCCCTGGGCGCCCACCCACCGCACACGGCTGCGGTTCTGGCCGCCCCCGCTCACAGGAAAACACAGAAAAGAACAAAACTGATCAGGCACGTGGCACGTCTGCCAAGCGAGGGGTAACTGACAGGACTGGACCGTCCAGCTTAGAAAGAAGGGACTATGGTAGAGATGGATAAAACCATCACTTATGTGGAAAAAGTAGATAAGGATGTAAATAAGAGCCGGGGGGCCACCCAATGATAGTAACAGGCAGCAGGCTTGAAACAAACCCAAGGCAGGGCTTCTGCACACAGCCAACCTGGGGAACTCCCTGCCAGGGGATGTTGTGAAGGCCAGAAGTGTAACGGGGGTGACAGCACGTTGGGGTTTTCCCGTCTCCTGCACCCCCGTAATGGCACGGACAGACTCTGGAGGATTATTGCTTCTCCAGGATACAGCACAGCATAGACGTGATGTGTTTACAGGATTCTGGGCCAGGATACCTCAGACCCCTTGAGATGGGGTCCCTGGGCCCCTAGATTCCAGCCCTCTCCTTAGACTGGTTCCTCCATGATTCCAGCCCAAGACTGACCCTTCCCCCAGTACACACTTCCTTTGTCCCATCTCTTCGCGGCAGAGCTCCTTCCTTTGTTTCTCTCCTTGGGGGGTAGCTGGTCAGACAGGTTGAGAGACCCTCTTTGCATAATGACTCATCCCCTGCCCTGCTGGGCCGCGCTACAGCCAGCAGCCAGCGGAGGTAACTCTCAACCCACTGCCCAGCATAGCAACCAGCAAGGTACCCCCCACTACGTCACAGGGGGTCAGAAAAGACCTAGCTGAGTTCCTGGAGGTGAGGTCCCTCGATGGCTGTCTGCCAGGCGGGGCAGGGACACAGCTCTGTGCTCTGGGCACCCTCAAGCGGCTGGCACTGCCCAACAGAGGGTGGATCGCTCCCAACAGCCCCGTCCTGTGCATGCCCACTGAGGCATCCAGCGCCAGCTGCTGTGGGAAGACAGGCTACTGACCTAGACAGACCCTTGGCCTGGCCCAGTCTGTCTGGGCTCAGGTCCAGCTGAGCTCCCAGCTGAAGGAAACGTCCAGACTCAGCCCCCACAAGGAAGCCACGAGTATTTCCATAGCAGCATGGGTGCGCTTAACCCCCGTCGCTCCCCCATGGCAATGCAGGGACTGGCCAAGGCCAGCGGGGCCTGGATGGGACAAACGGAGAAGGGGCAGGGACGTGGTGTTTACAAATGCCAGGGATGTGAAAAGGCGTTTGTGCAAGTAAACGTGGAACCACGGAATTTTTCACATGGGGAGGGAGGAGGCTCCCTGGGACCCAGTGCACGCAGGGGGCCAGCTTTTCAACTGGCTCTGCCTGCCCCCTCCCTCATGCTGCTGCCTCTGGAACAGAGGCAGCAGCAGGGGCAGGGCGCGTGTAACCACGTGCACGGTTACGCTTGCACATCCCTAATACACACCCAGCAAAGACCCTCCCGATGCAGCCTCCATGCACCACACAGTGTAGCACGTTGTTACCGACGTGGCAGCCTGGGGCCTGGCTCATGCTCACACAGTCAGGAGCAGGGCAGAGCCCAGCCCGCACCCAGGCTGCAGCGCTGTGAGGACTGCGGTTCCTCCAGGGCCGGCCTTACCATGAAGCAAACTGAGGCGGCCGCCTCAAGTGCCGGACTGGGGGGGAGGGCGCCGGTAGGCCCCAGAGAATTGAGACCTTTCAAAGTTTTGGCCCAAGCGAGGGGCATGGGGGCGTCATTTGAGCTCCCCCCCCAGTGCCAAAATGTGGTCCGGCCCTGGGTTCCTCTGGCGTGTAGGGGTGTGAAATCCCGGTTAGCTGGTTAAAGGTGACATTTAACCAGTCAACCACTGAAATGGGGCGGGAGAGGGACCCAACCGGGCTGGAATGTCGGGCCACCAGGTACCTGGGAAGCGCCCTGGGAAGGGCAATGGTGGAACTCACTGCTGCAGGGTAGCACTGAAGCAAAGACTCAGTTTAGTTTTTGAAGATTGTGTATATGAGGCCGGTCCACCCGTTAACTAACAGCCCCACTTCTGCTCCATTTAGGAGTTTAAACCCTGCATAGACGTACGTTAGCAAGACCAACGCTCTGGGGATCTTGTCACAATAGTGTCCAGGACTCTGTGAGAGACAACGGCAGAAACCCCCTACCATGCACCTCCCTCACCAACACTGCCTCCTGGGAAAAGCATTTCCTGACCCCACCTGCCTGGAGGCTGGAGGAAAGCGCCATTTGAATAACTGCAGATGCCATTCTTCATATACACAATCTTCAAAAACTAAACTGAGTCTCTGCTTCAGCGCTACCCTGCAGCAGTGAGTTCCACCGGTTGTGGAAAAGGGCAGCTTCCAACCATTCCCCTTTACCTTTCTTAAGTGTGCCAAGTTTGAGCGTTCTCTTGCTCTTCTACTGCTAGGAGGATGGGAAACAAGGAGTGGAGACTTCTCAACACCTACTATCATTTCATAGGCTCGGTCCCCGCTCTGCTCAGTCACACCTCTCCACACTACAGAAATCCAATCGTTTAACGTCTCCTCACGAGGAAGCCCCTTCTCCGGCGCCTGGTTATTTCTACTGCCCTTCTCCGGGCTGCCTTTCACAAAATGAGGGCAACCCAGACACCTCCCCTTGTTGGTTCATATAACGGAGGTATTCATGAGTCCCTCCCTCCCATTTCCGAGGGCTGGCAGGGCACGCTGAGACCCGTTACCCTGCACTGCCCTGCCCCTGGCGCAGAGATGTTACGATTCATTCTGAAACATCCCCCCCCCGCCCGCGCACATGAACCATTCCAGTTCTTCTGCGCGCACCAGCTGGGCTACCGCAAGCTGCCCAGGTCCCCATCTGTATTAGCCCTCGTCACTCTCTCTGGCCTGCCCCCTGGTCAGAGTGGCCTTGATTTCTCTTTGCAAGAGACATTTGCCCCAGTAAACCCCTTCCACCTGCCCTTCTTCAGCCCGCCCTGGGCCAGCCTCTGAGGCGGGGCAGGCAGCGTCTCTAGTAAGCGAGAAGTAGCCAGAAGCCACGAGAATGGCTCGGGCGCAGTCCCGAGAGGGCAGAGCTGTCCTTCCGCCTCCAGCTGCCCGAGGAATATTACCCCAACCCTCCGGAGGAGGCGGAGCCTTTCTAGCCGCACCCTCCGCAGAGCAAGCCCCCCCGCTCCCGCTCATCTGAAGCAGTGGGCGGTGCCCACGAAGGCTCGTGGTACCATCTACACGCGCTGTTAGTCTATAAAGTGTGACCAGACCATTTGTTGTTTGTTACGTTTATCCTGGACAGACTAACTCGACTACCCCCTGGAGCGTCTCTGTCCACAGTCAGTCACCTTCCTGGAGAAGACACTCACAGGACCCCTCTTGGAATCCAAAATCAGTTACAACCCCCCCCAAAATCTGTTGCTGATCAATCACACCAAAGCCAACAGCGGGGACCCTCGCCCGGACAAGCTGGCTACGCAGAGCAGACCCCTGCGCCAGCGCCCTGCCACGACGTGTCCGAACGCATTCCGAATTCCTCCACACGGGTGGCCGAGGGAAATCGGGAACCCTTCAGTAAGAACGCTCAGGAGAACCACGGACTAGAACCAGCAACGCCAACGGCATCCCAGGTAGTCGGCAAAAGCGACCCAGGCTCCACGGCTCTGTGAGTTGGCTGCCGCGGTGTGCGGACTCCCGTGGCTGCCCTGCCACCCCTGCAACACGCCCCTTCCCTGC